TTCCTTATATCCTTATTCTATAAATTTTTCTCTAGTTTTAAACTTCTGTATTTTTTTTTACTTTATAAAACTTTTCTGTTAGAAACTAAGACACGAACATGCACATTAGCCTTCAGGGAGCAAGGATTATCAATATCACTGTCTTCCACCTCCAAATCTTGTCCCACTGAAAGGTCTTCCAGGGCAATAACACATGGAGTTGTCATCTTCTATGATAATGATACCTTCTTCTGGAATACCTCCTGAAGAACCTGCCTGAGGCTGTTTTACAGTTAACTGTTTTTAATAAGTAGAAGGAGTACACTAAAATAACAATAGGGCCCTAGGCAGAGCAAGACGGCCAAACAAAAACCTCTAGTGACAAAAACCAAATTCAACAATTTGTGGGGCAAACATTGAAACCCAGGGCTGGTCTGGCAGAGGGGAACACAGCACAGGGCAGAATTCTGCCAGTGCCCACAGAGAGAGCATTTAGACCAGCCCAGAAAGACGGAAAGCCTCTGCCCTGAAACCTGTGTTCCAGCTACCCCTCACCACAGGCTGACAAAAAGCAGCCTGAGGCTCATACTAAATTCGTAAGGCAGTCAGGCCACAAAGACTGAAGTCCTTGGGCAATTCCTGCACAGCCAGTGGACTTGGGGTGGAAATGACCCAATGAGACAGCAGCAGCAGCCAAGCCAGTACCTGCGTCACCCTTCCCTCAACTCCAGGCAGTGCAGCTCCAGGGAGAGTCTTCTTCCACTTGGGGAAAGGAAAGGGAAGAATTCAGAGGACTTTGTTTTGCAACTGGGGTACTAGCTCAGCCACAGAAAAATAAAGTACCAAGCAAACTCCTGAAGCCCTTGAGTCCAGGCTTTAGTTCTTAGAAGGCACTTCTGGATGCACCCAGGGCCAGAAGGAAACATGCTGCCCCGAAGGGAAGGACTCAGTCCAGGAAAGATTCATCACCTGCCGACTAAAGAGCCCTTGAGCTTTGAATAAACATCAGAGGTAGCCAGGAAACAGTCATCACGGGCTTTGGCTGAGACTGAGCTGGCTTCCGGTATGACCTGGCAATGGTGGCCATGAGGGAGTGCCACGTCACTCTTCCCCCAACTCTAGCAGCCGAAAGCACAGAAAGTGAGGAAAGAGAGTGAGACACTTTGCCTAGTAATCCAGGGAATTCTCTTGTATCTTGCCCAAGTCCACCAAGGTGGTACCACCAGGAATCTGCAAGAGTCACAGCATTACTGGGCATGGAGTAATATGCAGTGCTGTATGGCTGCAATGATCAAAGACTTAGATCACAACACTCAATTCCCTTTGAATATTTGGAAAGCCTTTTTAACAAGGACAGGTTCAAACAAGGCCAGACTGTAAAGATTAAAATAAATACCTAACTCTTTAATGCCCAGACATTGACAAATACCCATAAGAATCAAGGAACATCCAGAAAAAAATGACCTCAACATCACTCAGTGACCAATCCCAAGTGATGGAGACAGGGGACCTATCAAAGAATTCAAAATAGCTGTCCTGAAGAAGTTCAATGAACTCTAAAATAACACAGAGAAGGAATTCAGAAGGCTTTTAGAGAAATTTAACAAAGAGATTGAAATAATAAAAAAAAATGTCAAGCAGAAATTCTGGAGCTGAAGAATTCAACTAACAAACTGAGAAATACATCAGAGTCTCTCAACAGCAAAATGGACCAAACGGAAGAAAGAATTAGTGAGCTTGAAGACAGCCTATTTGAAAATACAGTCAGAAGATAAAAAAGTAAAAAGAATAAAAAAGAATGAAGCGTGCCTACAAGATTTAAAAAATAGCCTCAAAAGGGCAAATCTAAAAGTTATTAGCCATAAACAGGAGGTAGCCCAACCACCGGCTAAGAAAAAGCAGCCTGGGGCCTGGACTATTTGTAAGGCAGTCAGGCCACAAAGGCTACAGTCCTTGGGCAATTCCTGCAGCTGTGCTGGCTTGGAGCCAGTGAATTTGGAGCACAAATGACCCAGTAAGATACCAGCAGTGGTGGTAGAGAGTTTATTCAAAGAAATAATAACAGAAAACTCTGCAAACCTAGAGAAAGATGTCACTATTCAAGTACAAGAAGGTCATAGAATACGAAGCAGCTTTAACCCAAACAAGACTACCTTAAGGCATTTAATAATAAACCTCCCAAAGGTCACAGAAAAAGTTCCTAAAGGAAGTAAGAAGAAAATAACATAAGAAAGGAGCTCGAATAAATCTGGCAGCAGACGTCTCAGTTGAAACCTTATGGGCCAGGAGAGAGTAGCATGACATACTCAAAGTGCTGTAGGAAAAAAACCTTAACCCTCAGATATTAGATCCTGCAAAAATAT